GAAAGGCAGACGTGGCAGTGGAAGGTGTCAAAGCAGTTTGGAGAGAAAAACAAAGTAAAGAACAAAAAAAACGATTAATTGATGTGGGACTCTGGGGTTTGCGTCTCGTACCCTGACAATGAGGATCCATTTGATGAGGGAGAGTCCGAAGCCTGAAATCGCCCCGTAGCGTCCGGCTGCCGAGGTGGTCAGACAGAACGACAAGAAGAAACCGATCCAGTTGAACAGGAACGCCACTGGGAAGGGAGAGATTGAGGCCGAGGAGAATGAGCTCTAGTTTTGATCTTAGGGTGACAAACAGTAAAAACGAGATTCGTGTGAGAGCGGAGGAAGGAGAGAGCGACTGACTGAAGAACGTGAGCATGAAGATGCCGTCGTTTCCTATCCTCAGCTGGTCTGCATCTTCAAAATCATCTCTGCTCACAAAATCCTCATCCTGTGAAGCAAGAAACAAGAACACACACAAAAAAGTTCAACCCCCTCAAATTATTTCATCTCAGCAAAGCTGGGCCATGACAGAGCTTCCCAAAGGTTTGCTACTACGGACAGACAAATGGAAACATCACAACACAGCAYGGCTATTTAATCACAATCGTTATTATTACTACACCCAAAAAGTGTGAACCTGAAGAGCTTGTTAAAACGACAACTCGGGATTAACTAACACTACACAAACAAACAGGAAGGGTGGGATGCAGTTGTATTTTCACACACCAAACTGGGACTAAAATACACTTCCTCTCATCACACACTCCTCCGAGTTACCTCCAGTGAACTGCGAATAATATCATCAAAAGTGTCCAGGTGTTCCCTGTGCTGAGGCTGCTGCTGARAGCAAAGCAGTGTGTGGCAGAGAAACACAACACGACCAATCAAACAACAATTAAAGGCCAAACTAGACTATAAAGCMCAGCATTAAAGAAAGTTCTCTTCCAAATGCAAAACCTTTATTGTAAGAGGTTTGGACGATGCAGACATTATGCATATATATATTTTTTTCTTTTTATATTTTTCTTTTTATTGTATATTGTACATAAAATTATTTGTTTTTTGTTTTGCATTTATTTTATTTATTTATGTTTTGCTGACAACTGTGACCTTAGTGTCTACCTTTCGTTCCTCATGTAGAACTCATTTGGAATGAAAATCCTTGAATTCTTGATTTAACCTCATTATTCTGCACAAAATTTCACTGACTCAAATATGTTTGGAGCATTTTTTAGGTCCTGTTTTACAGTATATTCAAAAAATCATGTCTAAGCATCAATTTTGTTTTCTAAATAAAAACACTAAAAACTAATTAATAACTCAAGTAATTTATTTTATTAATATGCATTAGAAATGTATATTAAATTTAAGATTAATCGTGATTAATTC